TTCGACATTAACAGAATATCGAAAAAGTTTTGCGCACATTTGCACTGGAAACGCAGCTGCAGACAGAGAGCCTATAGAGATATATAGATAGATATAGAGAGACTTGTGTTTAATTTTTGGGGAAAAAAATCTAATTCATTCTGAAGTGACTTTAAAAGTCTCTTTTTTTAAATTTCTTTTGAATTTTCTGCTTTCTCCCTCTCTTCAGGCCCGACCTGATCGACTTCGACAAGCTGAAGAAATCCAACGCTCACTACAACCTACAGAATGCCTTCAACCTGGCTGAGCAGCACCTCGGGCTCACCAAGCTGCTGGACCCTGAAGGTAAACACCTCCCACCCCCCAGAAAAACAGCTTATTATCCGAATGTCCTGCTGTCATTATATCTGTTTGATTATGTGTGTGCAGACATCAGCGTGGACCACCCTGATGAGAAGTCCATCATCACCTACGTGGTCACCTACTATCACTACTTCTCCAAGATGAAGGCGCTGAAGGTGGAGGGGAAGAGAATCGGAAAGGTGAGGAAATGATTCACAACAGGTCAGAACCAGCTGCTGCTGTTTGACTGCAGTTAACAACTGTTTATGTTGAATTCTGTGCTGCTTTAGTGCAAATAAATGAGTGAAAAGAAGGTTAAAGATGAAAATTACAGCTTAAATTCCTAGAACTGTTTCATTAAAACGAGCCTAAAGCAACAAATATAAGATGACTTTATTAACAAATCCCCCTAAAAAGACCTAAATTATCACATATTGTTTTTATTTTTTATTTTCTTGTTGGCATTAATGTGACGTTCTTTTCCAGCCTAAATGTTTTTTTTACATCCAATTAGGAATGTGCGATATGGCAAAACATTCATATCACCATATACATTATGTTGAGTGGCGGTAACGATATATATCATGATATAAAACTTAGAAAATGAATAAATCACACATTGAGTGGAATAAATATGTATAGGTAAAAAAATTTAGACCTTAAAATCTCCTTTTTTTAAGGGACACTTTAAAGTCTCCCATAAAAATCTAAATTTAAGGGAGATCTACCAGGTTAAATAACTTTAATGTAACAGTTATCTGCATCCATTGGAAGTTGTGTTTGGAATCACCAGCTTCGTTTTAAGGTGGTAA